TATATATATATATGGATATGTGACAGTTCTATGATGGTGGATCGAACGGCAGTGGTTTCCTGATGAAATGACAGTTGGTTTTTACAGTTTTTTGCTCGGACCGGCACAGCGATTGACTTTTTTTGTACTGTACCCCCTGCACAGGAAAAGGATTGTGCAATTGGTTATTTCTATGTAACATTATAGCTACCACATACACAGAAAAGTATTTCTATTTCCATTCCAATTAGCTAACTGTGTGCTAAAGAATGGCTTAGGGCTAGTTCACACCAGACCTAGGCCCGATTCTGACATGAACGCACTGCATCGCATTCTGGCCACCTCGCTTTGTTTTGGGGTGGGTGGGGTATTGACATTGAAGTAAATAGCAGCGCAGCCACGCCCTCTGGCCGCAGTGTGATTGCCCGCACTTGAACGTGTGGAACATCAATGCCTGCGTTCCTGTCCCGTCAGAAAAAATAGTATGCATGCAGCGTTTTTTCTGACCACACCGGACTGGAATGCAGACATTGATGTGCCACGCGTTCCGGTGCGGGCGATCGCACTGCGGGCAGAGGGCGTGGCTGCGGTGCCATTGACTTCAATGCACCACCACGCCCCTTCCCGCCCAAAACAAAGTGAGCCGGCCAGGATGCGATCCAGTGCGTTCCGGCCACAATTGGCCCGGAACGCACTGGGGCTGGTGTGAACTAGCTCTTAAAGCAGAATGTTTGTAAAGAAAAATTACTAGAGGGTACGCTTTTATTACAAAGGGGGAATTCATGAGGGTTGCCACCTTTTCTTCAAGTGAAACCCAAACACTCTAGCGCCGTGCGCTGCGGCATCTCAATCAGATGGTCGCGCATGCGCGATGACGTCATTGCGCATGCGAGAGGTGACATCACGCCAGGTGTCACCTCGTCGACTCTAGAGACTCGGGACCCCCTGTGTACGGGTGGCCTGTCACACGTACACAAGCCTCAAAAACCGGACTGTCCGGATGAATCCCGGACAGGTGGCAACCCTAGAATTCATCTAAAGTGGAGTGGCCAGAATCTGGAGCAGTTGCCCATGGAGACCAATCAGCTTCTCTTTAAAAAATGGGAACCTGTGTGAAAAAGCTCTGCCGTTTTCTGCTTCAAAAGCTGTGTACTAGTGAAGCTGTTTTAGCCTGTACAGATTCCCTGCAAGTGGTGAAATACAGTATGTTATCCACCCTTGGTACACATGGTACTGGGGCAGATACCGTATATACTCGAGTATAAGCCGAGATTTTCAGCCCATTTTTTTGGCTGAAAAGTGCCCCCCTCGGCTTATACTCGAGTCAGCATTTAGGTGTCTTCTTACTTACCTCGCCGAGCGTCGCGTCACTGCTGCTCCGGTGGGCGGCGCTCCGAGCGGGGTCATCTGGCAGTCTCCGGGTCCTAATTTAGGTGGCCGGAGACTGCCAGATGACCCCGCTCGGAGCGCCGCCCACCGGAGCAGCAGTGACGCGACGCTCGGCGAGGTAAGTAAGAAGAAAAGAAAAAAAATCCCGCAGCGCCAGTACAGCAGGGGAGCAGGGATGTGTCAGCGGCGCGCTGGTCAGACGAGAGGAGCTCCAGGTGGGGTTGTAATTATCGGGCAGGCACCTCTAAGTCAGCTAAATTAGGACCCCACCTGGAGCTCCTCCCACTGGACCAGCGCGCCGCTGACTCGTCCCTGCTCCGGCACAGTGAATCACAGTAAGTGAGGGGAGATTTGGGGGGATTTATTACGGTAACCAATTATGTATTGTCTGCACTGTATTAGCAGTATATACTCTATATGGAGTATATACTGCTAATACAGTGCAGACAATACATTTACAATGATACTAACATGAATGTATTAAATGATCTGTATGTAGCCCTGTACTATGGATCATTTAACCCATTCATGTTAGCAGAGGATCATTGTAAATGTATTGTTGCAGGCACTCTATATGTACATGTACTATATACTACATATAGAATGCACTGAACATTAGATTTACAATTATCCTCTGCTAATATGAATGGGTTAAATGATCCGTAGTACATAATATGTAGCCCTGTACCCCCTTTTCCACTTACAGAGCTAGGTTATTGTTTTTTTCTTTTAAATAAATATTCATGTAATTTTATTGGTATCTATCTACCATTAGCTGCCTCATTTCCCACCCTCGGCTTATATTCGGGTCAATACTTTTTCCCAGTTTTTTGTGGTAAAATTAGGTACCTCGGCTTATATTCGGGACGGCTTATACTCGAGTATATACGGTAGTTGTTTTGCCAATAACAGCAGAAGGACCCTTAAAGTGCTCTAATAACTCCCTCTGTTATTTTCCAGCCTTGAAGCGTTTTGCTGATTTAGCTTTGCCCCGGTTTTGTTCTAGATACCTGTTTAGCGAACCTCAACAATTCCCTGTTTCCAAGTTCTTCTTTGGATTCGGCATTGGGGGCCTGTTAGGAATTGGTAAGAATTGCATTTGCTTATCAAACTTCAAAACTTTATCAGCTTATAATGAGCGTCTGCGCTGTATTCATTTTCACCATTCATCATGTTGTCATATGTTCTCCTCTACAGTCATCTATCTATTTCTGATAGACCCCCTCACAATACCGATTATAGCAAAAACCATGCTGCTATACTTACTGGCAGGTGAGTATCTATCTATCTATCTATCTATCTATCTATCTATCTATCTATCCTGTCTTTCTCTCCGTTCTACAGTCGTGGCCAAAAATATTGGCTGCCCTGCATTTCTGTCAGATAATACACCACTTCGTGCAGAAAATTGATGCAATTACAAATGTTTAGGCACTTTTTTATGTTCATTTCTTTTGTTTGTATTGGTATATGGTATATGGAGAAAAAAAAAAAAGCCAAACTTGACACATTCCACGCAAAACTCCAAAAATGGACTGGACAAAATTATTGCCACCCTCAATTAATATTTGGTAACACAGCCCTTGGAAAAAATAACTGAAATCAATCGCTTCCTATAACCATCAATGAGTTTCTTACACCGCTCTACAGGAATTTTGGAGCACTCTTCATTCGCCAACTGCTCCAGGTCTCTCAGATTGGAAGGGTTCCTTTTCTCCACTGCTGTTTTGCGATCTCTCCACAGGTGCTCTATGGGATTTTGATCTGGACTCATTGCTGCCCAGTCCAATACTCTCCAGTGCTTTGTCTAAAACCATTTCTAGGTGCTTTTTGACGTGTGCTTTGGGTCATTGTCTTGCTGTCTTCATGCACACAGTCAAGACATCCAGTGCCTGAAGCAGCAAAGCAACCCCACAATATCAGTGACCCTCCGCCATGTATGACTGTAGGGACTGTATTTTTTTCTTTAAAGGCCTCATTTCTTTTTCTGAAAACAGTAGAATGATGGGCTGCACCAAAAAGCTGTCATTTTGTTTCATGGAAAAGCTGTTAATATTACAAACAAAAGAGATAAACATGAGAATGCCTAAATATTTGTAATTGCAACAATTTTCTGCACAAAGTAGTGCATTATCTCACAGAGATGCAGGGGTGCCAATATTTTTGGCCATGACTCTATCTATATATCTATCTATCTTTATCTATCTACCTATCTATCTATCTATCTATCTACAGTGGGTATAGAAAAGAATCAACCCCCCCTTTAAAATAATCGCATTCTGTTGCTTTGCAGCCTGAAATGAAGACAGACACAGTTTTTGTTTTATCCAGCTGTATTTACTCAGTGCAACTTATAACATCCAAGTGAAAGATATAACACCAACATTTCAGAAACCAATAAAAAAAATTCAAGAACAGAATGACTGGGTTGGAAAAAGGATCACCCCCTCCTAAAAATGACTTGTAAACTCAATCAGGTGTAGCTAATCACCTTCTCAATCACCACTGAGCTTTGCCAAAACGCACCTTGAAAATTCTGAGGCCATATGGAAAAAGCTGTTATGGCCAGATAAGACTAAAATTGAATTGTTTGCCCTCAACACCAAAGGATATGTCTGGCGGAAAACCAATACAGCTCACCATCCAAATAACACCATTCCTACAGTAAAGCATGGAGGTGGTAATATCCTGTTATGGAGGTGGTAAAATCCTGTTATGGGGGTGTTTCTCTGCAGCAGGGAGTGGAACATTTGTCAGGATAGAAGGAAAAAATGGATGGGGCAAAATACTGTTAAATTCTTGAGGAAAATATGCTGCCCTCTGTCAGATAGTTGTAAATGGGAAGAAGGTTTACCTTCCAACATGACAATGACCCAAAGTACACAGTAAAAATGACCACATGGTGGTTGCAGGAGAAAAAGGTGAATGTCCTTGCATGGCCTAGTCGGAGCCCAGACTTAAACCCCATAGAAAATCTGTGGAATGACTTGAAGACTGCAGTCCACAAACGGTCACCATCAAATGTAACTAAACTTGAGAAGTTCTGCAAAGAAGAGTGGGCAAATATTGCAAAGTCTAGATGTGCAAAGTTAGTAGAGACATATCCCAACAGACTAAGGGCTGTAATTAAAGCAAAAGGTGGTACAACAAAATACTGACACAAGGGGGTGACTCTAACTCAGTGATTTTTTTTCTGACATGTTGGTGTTATATCTTTCACTTGGATGTTATAAGTTGCACTGAGTAAATACAGCTGGATAAAACAAAAACGTTGTCTGTCTTCATTTCAGGCTGCAAAGCAACAAAATGTGATTATTTTAAAGGAGGTGATACTTTTCTATGCCCACTGTATCTTTTTATCATCTATTCATCTTTTTGTATATCTATGCAAAATCAAACGACAGTTAAAATATTTTTTGTTTTGCATAGGGTGAGGAAGGGTTAGAATCAATAACAGGTATGTCCCTGCTAGGGATATTTCTCCTTATTTTGTTTTCCGGTCACCATTGTCCCAGGAACAGGAAATTAGTTCCTGAGAGGTACTCAGACAGCAATGAGATTTTCCTTAACTTGCTGCCCTGTGACTACAGCAAGTGAGGGGAAATTTCCCCAACAAGGAAACCTATAGCAATAAAAGCCCAATAGAAGAAGCATCTCTTCCTCACTCAATCGTTGACGTTTAAATTTCATTTCAGTTATTATTTTTAGTATTTGTGTCCCCTGATAATGCAGTAATGTCCATGACCCTGTTTTATTTCATTTTTTAGCTACTTTTGCCAGTGGTTGGGGATCATCTGCCTACTTCAGATGCTCCAACCTAATCATCGTTCCGAACATGCTGGGAACGGAAGGACGAGCTTTCCTTCTCATTTTGGTTATAGCGGCTATCTATGCTGGTAAGTATTTCACTGATTACTGTCTTTTCTTACATACATTGCCATGGAAGGAATGTATCTGATTCTTTTCATTCTTTTACAATTCCTATAGGTCCTGGGGCCAATCTCCAACACAATTTCTCGGAGATACCCCGTTCGATCGGCTGCACAGTAGAACTTCAAATCAACAACACGAAGATGTTGTGGAAAATTTTATCGACCCCAGTGAAGAATATCCTGAGAAATGTTGTAGTGAGTACACAGATCACATAACACGGGCCAAAGATGGCCCACTAAGATTCTAGACTTGTGTGCATAGGTTGTCATTATTCCAAAAATTTAGGGAGAATGTGGCCCAGTTTTTTCTACTTTTTCACAGAGAGGGGAAAGATGTAGAACAGCCATCACTAAATGGCAGGCCGCGAGCCGGACACAGACCAAGTGGCAGTTAAGTTCAGACTGCGATTGCCGACCTGCGCTGTGTTATGGATGGCTGACAGTGGAAACACTAGCCTCTGAGGCCGGTACTTTGACTGAAAGCCATAAACCAATGCAGGCCCTATCTCCACATTCCTGGTTGCTAGGACCGTTGGCTTTCTAGCAATCAATGACATCAAGCAGGGCCAGCTGCTACTAAAAAAAAACTGAAGACTGGAATCTGAATGAGTTCTATACCATGTTTTCCAGCAAAAAACGCATGATTTTGAGAACATAGGAGATGAAGTCAAGTCTACATTCCAGGACGCGAAACAGGAAGTCGAAGGCAAATCGGGATATGATAATAGTAAAGAGGAAGAGCTGAAGCAGAAGGAGAAAGTGACATCCACGCAGAAACAATTTGATATTAAGAATATACTGCGTTGTGAATGTAAGTATATTAGATCTTTCCCCAACCTGAAACATACTGTACAGATACCAGGACACCTGAAAGTGTCTGTAAAACCAAAACTTTTTTTAGTTTTTGATAGTGTAGGATATGGTCATGGCTTATTTTGCTGTCTGTCTATTGTTGAGAAAATTACCTTCACTTCCTGTCCCACTAATGCACATTAGATACAGAATTTTTTTTAAACGTACAGATTAAAAAAAAAAAAAAATGTATATCCTAAATCTTTGATGTTTCTCTTTCCTAACAGATGTCATCGAACTTGGCATCACCAAATGCTATGAATGGTTTGATATGAAGCATAAGGAATGCATGGATGCAATTGTAGTCCCCATCATCAGCCACATCCTTTGCATTCCCATGCAGTTTTCATTTCTATGTAATATTCTTAACAGTAAGTACCCTGCCAGTGACATAATATTTACAGGGTTATTGACAGAAGGGTGAAGAGTTTGGAGAAGGCAGGAGAAGGGAACAATCTAGGACAGTGGTTCTCAACCTGTGGGTCGCGACCCAAAAGTGGGTCGCAACCCACAGTTGAGGGGGTCCCCACATGCCTTGTGTTGCTCTAGGTAGGAGGCTCCTCAGCCTCCTCCTAGCGCAGCCTTGTCAGTTCTCCTAGATGGCGCTGCAGCAGCAGTGGCCAGAGAGTATCAGAGAGAGGGGAGCAGGCAGGAGTGAGGGGAGGTGAGTGCTTGATCACCACAGAGCCCGCACTGGACGCCAACAGAGAGTCCCACTAGCCACCTGAGAGCCCGCATAGCCTCCCGAGAGCCCACACAGATACTAGTATTGGTGCATCCCTACATTTTACGGTTAGGGGTCACCACAACTTGGCAAATGTTACCAAGGGGTCCCGGCCCTAGAAAGGCTGAGAACCACTGATCTAGGACAACATAGCTGACCTGGAAAGTGAACTGAATTGGAGAATTTTTCCAAATCAGCTATTTTAGCCTAGATTGTTCACTTCTCCTGCCTCCACCAAACTCTTCACCCTTTTGTGAATAGCCCTGTTAGTATGTTTACGATTATAATAACTGCAAATAATCTGCTACAAAGGTATATAATAGGGATGCACCGATACCGTTTTTTCAGCATCGAGTACTGATATTTATTTTTTCGGTACTCGCCGTTTCTGATACCGAAAGCTCTGTTAAGGAAGCCAGGCGGGTAATAACTCGCTGCCCGGCTTCCCAATTAGCCGGGAAGCCGTCTCCATGCTCCCTCATCACCATGTGACGAGGGAGCATGGAGCCGGCTTCCCAGCCAATCAAGAAACCGGGGGGCAAGTCATTACCTACCCCCCGGCTTCCTGATTGGCCAGTAAGCCGGCTTCATGCTCCCTAGTGACGAAGGAGCATGGAACCAGCTTCCTGGCCAATCAGGAAGCCAGCCAGCGTGTATTGACTCAACGCCTGCCTTCTTGATACTGGAAGATCAAGTATCAGGATAGGCACTGGCAGCATTTGGGAGAGTACTCGCTCAAATATTGGGTATCGGCACCAATATCGATACTAGTATTGGGTATCGATGCATCCCCAGTAAATAACTATAAATTGTGTTTCGTAATGGATCATTTCTTTCTTAGTGGGAGAATTATGGTGCAAAAAGTATGTTCCTATGGAAGCAGAATTTGGAGGCATGTATGATAAAGCCAACATGTCTGTGAATAATGTGGGACAAGGACTTTCCAGTCTACTCACCATCCAGGTAAGTGTGTTAGTTAAAGCTCTTTAGATGGTCATTTTTATGGCATAGTGTAGAGGTGCTCACTAACTCTTCTTACAGAATGTTTTACTATACAGTATATCCAGGTGTTTCTATCTTGTTTTACTTATCTCCTCTTTTATCTTGACAGAAGGATGATGACATTGATGCTGTCCTAAATATCACCGAAATGACCTTGAAGGATAAGATCTTGACCTCCATTGAAAAGAGAAGGTCGACATTTCAGAATATGTTGGCCTTTCTGAATAGTATCATGACATTGTCCTTTGTTTTTGTCTTCATATCGTAAGTTATCCATAGACTAACAAACTTTTTTTAAGTATCTCTACACTACAATTGGGCATGATAGCATATGCTAAATGGTAGGTAACCTTCAAAGAGATAAACTGACTTACGGGTCTATACCCAAGAATAGCATGCAAAATACAACAGCTTACCGGTTCTTAGATGAAGTTGCTGCATTTATTTTCTTCCTTTAGAAGAATACTTTTTGCAAGTACAGATAAATACTAGCTTATTTTTCTGATGATATGCATGGAGACTATAGTATAGCTGTATTTGCATATTGTGAGAAGAGGCTCTGAAAATCTATGAATCATAAACATTAATGGCTCCTAAGTATTCGGGCCTGTTCACATGAGTTTAAGGTCCTGATCAAGTCCGGATCAGCAGACGCGGTGCTATGTGTTTTGCCGCGTTTTTGATGCGTTCCAGTGGGGAGTGGGGCTGTCAGTATGTTAGCTGCAGCGCAGTGCGTTTTTGATGCGTTTTGCGTTTCCGGACCATTTCCTGACCGTACAAAATGTGACATGCAGTATTTTTCTGTCGTAACCTGAACGGACTGCGCACGTGAGAACTGTAGCCCATAAAACACACAGGGATACATTGGGATGCATTTTTAGTGCAGGAGCGTATGGATCAGGTCAGCACAGAAAACGGACGTCGTGTGAACAGGCCCTAGCATACAGTGGGAGGGATATACATCCATACATACTGTATATAACAAATAATTGGTGTAGTTCATATCTCATCTTTCATATTTATTTTCCCATCACAGTGCTTTCAAATACACCAAGCAATACAACTCTGACATCCGGCATGACAACTATTACGTGACTACTTACTTCAGGCAGATTGACGCCCGACGGCGAAAACTCGTAAGTATTTCTATTTATCGTTCACTTGAAATGCCAAAGTTTGTGACAGGTTTAGTTTAAAGACAAACTTCAGCAGTTTAGGTGGACAAAAGTGTCTTTTAACCTCCCTGGCGGTATGATTATTCAGGATTTTAGCATGCCAAAGCGGTACATTGTTTTTCATGGCAATTTGTTGTTTTATATAGTAGGCCTGTAATTCTTAAATCTTAGGAATTACTCATCTAAATCTGTCCAAACAAGAGTCCAGTAGACATCCCGGGTATGATAAAGTTTGAAACACGAAATCATAAATTATAATATAATAAATAATTATAAGAAATTATAATATAATAAATAATTATAAAAAAGTATAATATAATAATAAAAAAAATAATAGTAAAAAAATGGTCCAGTAAATGGGAATTCTGGGGGCGCTGCCTGATCCGTACCACAGTCAATAGAGTACAGTAAAAGTGCAGGCAGGGCACTGGACGTAGCTCTAGGGACAAAATTGAAGTGAAATAGTTTGATGTAATTATAGCAGATTACATTGTATTGTGTGTATTCCGTGTAAATGTCATGTTTGCACTTTTGAATTTCCCGCCGGCTCCGCCCCCCGCTTTGACGCTCGAAAACGAAACTGAAAGTGTGGCTCGGGGTTACCGCTCTTGGTACTGAAAATTAACCCCGAGCCACACTCGGGAATACCGCCAGGGAGGTTAAATAATAATTATTGGCAAATATTAGCATTTTTTTAACAATCAAGAGATTTACAACTTATGGCTAAATTGTCTTTGCAGAAAAAAAGATATATACTACCTCTGAAGAAAGGAGAAATGTCAAAGATTGTATTTCCATTTAGTCCTGCAATCCAAGGGCCAGAAATGGCAGCCATGGTGAGTATATAGGGACTGCTGCCTAGGCCAGGGGTCGGCAACCCGCAGCTCCGGAGCCGCATGTGGCTCTTTCATCCCTCGGCTGGGCTCCCTGTCCAGGGGTGGAACTACCGCCAGGGCCTCGGGGCCTGAGGCTGTGATAGGGGACCCAGTGAGGTCCGGTCCTGGGAACCCCTCCTGGTGGAATATGCGGCAGTGCGGGGTCCCGAGACACTTTGTGAGTGCGATCTCACATTCCACCCCACTCACACAGTCGGATAGAAGTGACCTTTCAGGACCGAACAGCTGTTCCAGGGCAGATCAGTTCTCCTGCACATGCGATTTGCGATGCCGATCAGCCCTGGAACAGCTGAGAAAGCGTTGGAATGCTTGACCTATTGGTGGTCACACATTCCCCCACCAAAAAACTGGGCGGGATTACATTGAAATGTGTGACCACGTCATCGGTCACACATTCCAACCTAGTCACAAACTTAGATAGAACAGCGGCCCTGCCTAATCATTTAATCAGAGAAATAGATAATATTAGGCAACATTACAGTGTAATGTTCCCCATTATAATCCACTTTTATAATTAAATGAAATAACAGCATACACTGTGAAGTTACACGCGTTACACCCCCCACCCGCCTCTCCCCCGAAAAAGCTCCTCATTTGGACTCACCTGCCAAGCCTCACAGCCAGCATCCCAGCCAGACGGTGTGCACTGCAGGGGGCGGGGCATGTGACACTTCTCCTCTCCCGCCGCCTGTTACTAGGGACGCGGCCGGGAGAGGAGTTGATTCACAGGACCCGCCCCCCCTTGCTGAGAAGCCCGTCGGCAGTGCGGGGCCAAGGGACCCTGCACTGCCAGCATATTCCACCACAGGGGGTGCACAGAACTGATCTGCCCTGGAACAGCTGTTCGGTTCTGAAATGTCACTTCTATCCGACTGTGTGAGTGGGGTGGAATGTGAGATCGCACTCACAAAGTGACCCGGGACCCTGCACTGCCACATATTCCACCTGGGGGGGGTGCCAAGGACCGGACCTGGACAGGGAGCTGCAGCAGAGGGATGAAAGAGCCAAAGGTGGCTCCGGAGCCGCGGGTTGCCGACCCCTGGCGTAGGGAAAGGTTAAATCCACGGTCAGGTTTTTTTGGGGGGTCCTTTTGGAAAGATTTCCCTTTATCTCCTGTCCTGTAGACACAGGAAGTGAGAAACAAATGTGTTAAATGTCCTCTTAGAAAGTTATCAAAAAAAGGTGTTCTTATTAGAAACTAAATGTTCCCCTTACGGGCACACAGACACTGCAGGTACAACAGGCATTCGGAACACTGTTGTTTTATTAGGACAAAGACCGCAGTGCTCACAACCAATAGATCTAACAGTGACCACAAACTTTCCCACTACGGCAAGGTCAAGCACTGCCTTACATGTACTCAATAAAGAAATAAAACCTGACAGGGGTCCTAATCCCACACCACTCTATCATAAACTAAAAAAAATGTTGACTTTACCATAAACATTGCACTGATATTTGTACTGTCTTATACAGATGATAGAGTTACGCCAGTGTATCCTCCCGATTATCATGCTTATCTTGGTGAGCGTCTTCGACAAGATCCTGTTTAATGTCTTGGATGTAATAAGAAGACATTCAAGCATTTCCTACGTCTTTGCGAGTAAGTATAATCTTTGCTCAACAAGGGGTGTTAAAGGAGAACAATGGGGTTAAGGCTTTTCCCCATAGTTCAACTTAGGGTAACGGGAGGACACAAACTAGCGTCCTCCCGTCACCCTAAGCTCAGTATACCGGTATACTGAGATGCCGCAGCTGAAGCGAATCCCGACAATTATGTCTGGATCCGCCCAGCTGCGTGAGTGACAGCTGGCTCTGCCTATCTAAAGGCAGAGCCAGCTGTACCCGCCCCCTCCCCCGTCCAATCCGCCAGTCAGCGCTGGAGGATCGGAGCGGGGAGGGGGGAATCCAGTCCCTCCCCTGTCACGACAGAGAGCCGTGACAGGATTGAGAAGTAAGCGAACGCCGGTATGTGTTTGCTCACTTCCCGATCTACTGAGCCGACCTGTGACAGTCTCATTGTCACAGGTCGGCTAGAACTATGAGGTGAGTGAAAAGCACTCATCTCATAGTTCTCCTTTAATGACACAGGGCCCTTCTTCCATAGGAAATACAAATTCCAGGGTCTCAGACCTTGGTCTGAGGCCCTGGAATTTGTATTTCCCTGGAAGAACCGCCCTGTGTCCAGGGCCCTGTGACCCAGATAAAGGTCCCATACTTTACTTATTTGGCAAAACTTTTGGTTTTAATTCTATAATTTTTCTCAACAGGTTATCACAAGTTAGAGGTCCTTGTGGGAGGTGACACCTTGCTGGCGAATATATTAAGAAAAACCATCGGTCTTCTTAATTCTACATCAAACACATTTGAGACCAGCAGCAATGAGAGTAAGTATGCAAATAGTGACTTATCATATACAGCTGGTATCATAGTGCTTTAAAATTGCAACTTTTACCTTATCTCTTCCATAGTGTGCCTTCCCAACCCTATTGAGATGAGTGCCATCGATCACCTCGTGACTTGTGCACCCGTGCTTGGACTCATTTTACTATCGGTCCTTCAAGTCTTCTTCTATCGCCTGCGCCGCGTTGTGGCATCTTATTTCTTTCCAAAGGTAAACCTTATAAACAAACTCAAGCCTTCCTAATGAGTTGCGATAACACACACGTCATTATGGACATTATACATAACTGTTATGTGAGTTAGCACATTGTTATTAGAAAAGTGTTGTCACAATCTCATCAATTAAAGGAGAACTATGGGGTTTAGTCTTTTCCCCATAGTTCTCCTTAGGGTAACGGGAGGACACAAACTAGCGTCCTCCTGTCACCCTAGGCTCAGTATACCGCGAGCTCTAGCTCGCGGTATACTGAGATGCCGCAGCTGAATCGGATCCCGACAATTATGCTGGGATCCGTCCAGCTGCGTGACTGACAGCTGGCTTTGCCTATCTAGAGGCAGAACCAGCTGTTCCCGCCCCCTCCCCCGTCCGTTGCGCCAGCCAGCGCTGGCGGATCGGAGCGGGGAGGGGGGAATCCAGCCCCTCCCCTGTCACGGCAGAGAGCTGTGACAGGATCGAGAGGTGAGCGAACGCCGGTATGTGTTCGCCCACCTCCCGATCTACTGAGCCGACCTGTGACAGTCTCATTGTCACAGGTGGGCTAGAACTATGAGCTGAGTGAAAAGCACTCGCCTCATAGTTCTCCTTTAAAGTACAACTTAAATTTGTTAAAATGATATCTTTAAATGTCTTTTCTGATCGTTCGTTTCCCTTTCTTTGCTCCAACAGAGAGAGAAACGCAGAGTTCTCTTTTTTTATAATGAACAACTCCGGAAGCGGGCTATCTATGCAGATGTCAAAAGGAAGATGATCATGAGTAAAGCTCGTATCAACCGACTCAAGGTGAGTAAGAAATACAAATTTCTGATTCCTTCTTAGATCTTCAGGGCACTAAGACCAGCTATCAGACTCTACTACTGATAAATCTGGTAATGGGTCTTCTTTCATGGTGCGCATAGGGTATACATGATGGTCATTTGAACTACAACCTTGTCCTTTGATTATGCAATATCTGCTAAAAAGAAGTGTTATAGTTCATAGTGCTCTAGCAGTTACTGATCAGCTGGCGGAGCCATTTATATACTCTCTCTGTTCATTGGCCATTTAGTGTATGAAGCAAATTACCACCTAATGGATGGATGTATGGACATATCTTACCTCTACTGCTTTTCCATGATCCTTTGTCTCATAGTGATTTTTTCTTTAGATGGACACCCCCTTGGGCGCTTTCTATCGCCATTGTAAATGGCTTAGAAAGTTTATCCGAAGATACTGCATAGTCTGCAATGAAAGCGAGACGAAGAAATCTTACGTCTGTCCAACACCAGACTGTGGAACCATCTATTGCCATCAGTGCTGGAGGGACATGAAAAAATTCTGCTTCGCATGTACACCGTACGAAGAATTTATTCATGGCCCTGATTACAGTGACAGCGAGTACGGCAGTGACTAACCACCATCCACTGACTAGCAATTAACATCTTTAGGAATACACCGTATATTGTTTATCCGGGGATTTATCCAATCGCCTGAACATATGATCAGGAAGAAATTTTTCCCCTGTTGGAGCATATTGCACAATTGCATTAAGCTTCAGGAGGGTTTTTCGCCTTCTCTGGATCAACTGGCGGGTTCCTAAATAAAAAATGTAATAAATACAAATTTGTGTCTGCTATGATGTTTTAGTTGTGATAAGAAGATATGGGGAGGAGTCATATGATATAAGAGGGAGTGGCTAGGTATAAAAGAGGGATGGTATATAGAGTGTTTAATAAAATGTGAGCTGAAAAACCTAGCTCATGCATTTTGCAAAGAGGTAAAAACTGGACCTAGGTTTGCATGCCAGTGAACACGTGAGAATAGAGAAATGCATTAAAGTTTGCATACAAAGATATCTGTGTTCATCTTTTGTCTCTGAATGTTATTACATTCACTATGGAATGAATGAAGTTCAATTAGAACGGCAATGTACACTGAATGAGGGACACTGATCTGATAAACACTATGACATAGCTTTTATTATATTATTAAAGGAGAACTATGAGGTGAGTGCTTTTCACTCACCTCAAGAAATACAAATGACAAAATCAAATGCTTTGTGAGCTAAGGAGATGAGCGTATGCCTGTGAAGGTTCATTCATCCAGGTCCGAGGTCATGCTATATCTGTAAAAAATAAGTCAAGGCAACCGAACCTGCTGTATTTTTCTTGAAGATGTTTCACTGGTCATCAAACCAGCTTTCTCAATTCAGAATGGCTTGTACAAAAATTATCTGCGAATAAATATGGTGAATGCCGCTCCAATCCACATAATCTGTTAGTCGCAACCATGTGTTCAATCATTTGCATAATTGGAGCTGGGAGGTGTTAATAACCTGCCCAGAGACAGGTGTTAAAAAAGCATTGTATGTGGCAGACAATAGATGTCTCACCTCCCCCCCTCCCCACACCTCCCCCCCCTCTATTCAAGCTTGGCTTCTCCATTTTTACATAAATGGCCTCTTTCACACACCTTTTAAACCAGTCCTCCTCCCTGCCTAGGATGCGTACTTGAACGCACGCTGAACGCTTGCGCACACCGGCCCGTCCGGCTTTTATCTTACGAACATGCTACACACCCACCGAAAATCGTACGATTCTCGGCGGGTTTTCGAACATGTTGCTAGATAAAAGTCGTGCGACCTTACAGTAGCAGAGGTCGCACGGCTCCCACACACCTTACGATAATCGTACGATAGCGGGATTTCCCGCGATTATTGTAAGGTGTGTGGGCACCTTAACAGATTATGTGGATTGGAACAACATTCACCATATTTATTCCCAGAGAATTTTTGTAATTGAGAAAGCTGGTCGGATGACCAGTGAAACGTCTTCAAGAATAATACAGCAAGTCCAGTTGCCTTGACTTATTTTTTTACAGATATAAGGAGATGAGCATTTTTGTATTATAGTTATTAAAAAACATGGTAACGGTTTATAATACAAAGGTCTTTAGCAAACTAAATATCATCCAGGATGGGTTTTCTTTCACTTTAAAGAAGAACTCCAGGATTGTATAAAACATACTCTTGCAGTGCAGGAGTAGTTACTTGCTTGTTTTGGTCTAGTAGCACAAATAAAGAAGATATACTCACCCAATCCTCGGACCAGTGGCAGTGAGCACTTACCTCTTTCCCCCTACGCTCTGGATGTGCTATGACCCCCAACAGACCTGTATTACACGTATTGATGTCAAGGGTCCTTAGACCACTGGAGCCTAGGGGGAAAGAGGCTGTGGGGACTAGTCTAGTAGCCTGGCGGGACCGAGGATCAGGTGAGTATATCTTCTTTATTTGAGCCCCCTAGACCAAAGCGAGCAGGTAAAGTAGTACTAAAGGCTAGACATTTTTTGCCTTAATGCATTCTTTGCATTAAGGTAAAAAAACAGCCAGTAGCTTTCTATGTTTCCCTTTCTCCCCCACACTTACCTGTGGTCGCTTGTCACCTCCACTGAGTCCAGAGGGAGGGTACTGAGGGCAGAGGAGCAATTGGCTTCTTCTGCCGTCAATCAATCTGTTGGGAGGAGAGTGGTGGAGGGAGCAGGAGTGTGGCTAGCCGCACACTGTGAGTGTCTATGGCTGCACACAGCTAGGTAGAGGCACAGTCGGGAACAAGCATGCACAGGTGTCTTCTCAGCAGCTGGCTAACTGATGGAGACAACCACAAACAGATTGGGGGGAGGCAGTTTGAGAACCAACTAGAGAACATGGAGATACAAAAGTCACTCTGCTCTCTCCTACTTTTAGCATGATCCTTGTATTACAACGCAACAGATTGGCACTTGTTCTGCTTCTCCCACCCTCAGTCTCAGTTCTGCCATATAAGGACCTCAAGGGGCTGATACCAAGTCAGATTCAGGTACTTATACTGCTTGCAATTAAGATAAATCCATTTAAGGATGTACTTATGTATACAGAGCTGCATTCATTTAAGTATTTTAAATCTTCCTGGGGTTCAACTTTAAAGCAGGGGAAACTCCGGGGACAATTTTTTATTAACCCTTCCAGTAGGGTTACACCCGCACTGCAAGGGTTAAGTGCTTGATTTTGTCTGGGGTCAAAAATAAAAAAGTTATACTCAATCCTCAGGGCCTTAGATGATCCCTGGAGCCTCTCTCCCGCTCCACTGAAACGGTCTTATGTCCCTGAGTCATCACATTGTATACAGTACACAGTGTATAGGGCATGAGGATACTGGGGGACATGCCATCGCTGCAGCCGAGGAGAAGACAGGCAGAGGGACTGTTGCCACAGCTGGCCGGCTTGGAGGATCAGGTGAGTATGACTTTGTTATTTTTTACCCTAGGCAAAAACGAGTACGCAACCCTTGCACCCCAGCCCCACTACAAGAGTTCATCAAATTTTTACCTGGTGCTGTTCTTCAACATTTGCAAACAGCAGAATAGTTTAATATCGATAAAATTATTTTCCTATAAAATACACATTTAAAAAAATCTCAGATTTGAGATGCACCGATACCAATTTTTCCAGACCGAGTACGAGTATTAATACTTTCCCTCAGGTACTAAGGGTCTCAGGTGGGCTTTGGAGGGTCTCAGGAGGGCTTGTGGAGGGTTTCAGGAGGGCTGTGCAGGGTCTCAGGTGAGTAGTGCAGGGTTTTAGGAGGGGTGTGCGGCCTCTCAGGTGGGCTATACAGAGTCTCAGGTGGGCTGTGCAGGGTCTCTGGTGAACTGTGTGGAGTGTCAGTAGGCTGTGCAAAGTCTCAGATGTGTTGTGCGCGGTCTTAGGTGGATTCTGGGCTGTGCGTGGTCTCAGGGTGGCTGTGGATTTTATATCGATTTTTATATTTTTCGTTTTTCTGATCTCGGATCTGAAATTCGATTCGGTTCATTATTTAGATTTAAAATCTATCCAATTCTTTTGGAACTAAATCACATGATCTTGCTTGTACAGACCCCAAAAAATCTGATTGGCCAGAGAACAGTCACAAGTTCGATTTAGTTTTCACATTAGACATGTAAATTTCGTTTTGTTCCGAATTCGTACGAAGTTCGTTAAATTCAGACATTCGATGCATCCGAATTTCCAAATTGGAAAATGCCCATATGCAAACGAATCCAAGTCCGTTAAATGAAATTCAGATTCGTTCGCATTTGGGCGCTTTCAATTTCGGAAATTCGGATACAACCGAATGTCTGAATTTAAAGAAATTCATACGAATATCCATGCGGAACAAAACGAAATTTCCATGTCTAATCCCTAATATAAATAATGGCTTAGTAAAACTGCTGGCAGGAAGGAGAAGGTTCTCTTTTTTTCTCATTTCAATGTACTGTGCTCATGGGTCTGAGAGTAGAGCATAGTGACAGGATGACATGCTGTATATGTCATTGTGACTCATATTAGTTTTCATCCTCATCCCTGACATTAATATACACAGCGACAGTTTTAGCAATTCATCTGTTGACCTAGATACTGGCTTTTATTGAAGACAATACAGCATGAGTCAGGTAGCCTCTGAGCATTGTAAGCACAGAAGCTACAGCCTGGGAATGTTGGCTGCCGGGCAGTGCGGTTAACATGTTTGCAAACAGCAGAAGAACAAACAGGAACAAGCTTGTTAATCCATGATTATGACACCAGCCATTCCAATCATCTAACTGACTGTGCTGAAGGAGAAAACAGAACCTGCTTATAATAACAGAATGAGAAGTGCTTGAGGCCCAGGCCACTGATTGTATGTGAGAGCAGAGGTCCGGCTTTACAGCGTGCTGCTAGAATGCTGGTGTATTTTAACCTTTGATACAGCACTTCAATGAAGCATTTGTGGCACTTTTCTGGAGGTATTGTTACATTAGAAATGTCTGTGCCTAATTCATGAAAGCCAAGCCACAGTTCAGTTAAGAATTACTATACGTACGACAGATTCAAGTCGTTCTTATTTGCTCCATTTTCATGATGTGTCAATATGACAAATCAAACAGAATTACCGCCAGTTGGTAAAGTAACTGCAGGTAATTAGGACCAAATCTAAGTTGGTGTAAAGAGAGAGTACCGTGTACTGAGTATTAACAAGCAGGACATGGGGCATGTTTACATGGGGCTGCATAGCTTCATTGGTTGCCTCCTCCCTGGCTCCGTAACACGCCCTCTCACTTAGTTTGTAGCGCTTCCCTCCTTGTTTTCTCTGCTGGATCCATCCATCGGTCGGATACCCCGGTCCGCACGCTTCCGAAGCCGCTCAACTAAACAAGCAGCATTCCAAATATTAGGAATTTTATCTTCCTTCCTCCCCTTAAACCCCCCCCCCCGTCTGTTTCCCTTGAGCGCTGTATTTTGGTACATTGTCCTTATAACTTTCCATATTCACTAAGCACCTACCCAGCAGGGGCTACCGGTGGTAAACAGCCATATAGCAGCTCAGTAAAGGTTTTTATTGGGACCCCCCATCCGCACACGTGCTAGTTTTTCATATATAACACA